ACTCGAAGTACTGTGGTCACTTGTACCAAATGCGGGAGGTTGCATAAGGGTAAATGTTTGCTACATGCTATTGGTGTCGTACGCCTGGTCAAATAGCTAGATGTTGCCCTTCACTTGGCCAGAAAAACTGAAGAACAGAAATTAAGTTGAGCTACTTCATAGAATACTGCATGTAGACTAAAAAAGAAAAGTCAACAACTTCAACTCTCACTCAACCTTCACCACAACCTGTTCGACCTCGAGTTTTTGCCCTTATTTGTAGTGAGCCAGAAGAACCTACTATTGTTGATGCAAATTCTAATATGGTTTTATGAGTGTCATCTTTTTTTTTTTTCATGTTCGAGGAATATCATTCTAGTGTATTTCTTTTTTAGGGGTGTGTTGTTATAGTTATATTATTTTATTTTAGATGTGATATTATCCTATTTTAGTTGATAGGTGAAGTTAGTTATATTGACTCAAACCATTATTTTATTGTATCCACTTTTCATTTTATTGAATGAGCTTTAAGCTTATACGAAAATTTATAAATAATTTAAGCTTTTCCTTCTTAATGTGAAATGATTGTGAAATGATTTGAGGATTCGATTAGATTTGCAAAATTTCGAGGATAATTTTTATAAGACATGGAGATTGCTATAAGTGGAAAAAAATAGTCTTTCAAATGAGATGCGAGGATTGCGTAAAATCAAGACGAAGGATTTATCCCCTCATTTCCTCACATTCAAACCAAATGAGTGAAACAAAGAAAAAGTGAGTACAAGAACGAGAAAGCAAATGAAGGAAAATTGAGTACGAGAAGTCGTGAGAAAGAAGAGCAAGGAAACCACGAAATTTTTTTCTCTATTTTGCGGCACGTAGAGATTTGATTGAATCCCATAAACTCTCAACGAAGAAGCCCATGCTTTAGTCGAAGGAGAGGTCGTGTGTTTCTCTTACCGAAGATTTGACGTCATTTGCAAAAGTTGAAGTTGAGTGCATGGAGGAAGAAGAGGTGTGGGAGGCTAAGAGAGGAACAAACCAATCTATAAAGGCCTTCACAAAATCCTCCCACTAGATCAGGCTGCTCAGTCCCAAAAGTTTTCTGCAATTGTCCTACCACCATCTCTTTGCTTCTCCCTCAAAAGCAAATGTGGCCAATTGGACCCTTGTCTCATGTACACAAGACATGCTATCAATCATTTCTATCATCAATAGCCAATTCTAAGCCTCTACCGTTGCTCCTGCTCCTTAAAAGAGGGGTGGTCTCATATTCTGGAATAGCTTCAAATGCTTATCATACATGTTGTCCCATTACCACTAGCTTGGATTTGAAAACCATGAATCAATCATGCCATTGCAGCCATCATCGGTAAAAAAGCTTTCATGGAAATACTAGCACCAGTGGATGGGAATCGCTCATTTCACGGATTGAAATTAGTAAGTGTTGGTGGTCTCAGCCTCTACTGGCCCTCCTGCTCCTTAAAAGATGGGCGGCCTCATAGCTTGGAACAACTTCAAATACTTATCCATAAGCATTGTCCCACTACCACTAACTTAGATCTAGAAACCTGAACTAGTTGTGTCACTACAGTCATCATCTATATGAATGATTTCATAAAAGCACTAACACTATTGGATGAGAATTAAGTGTTCGAGGCGCCAAATTATGTTGTTCGGCAGCTCTCACCTGTATAATGTTCCCATTTTGTATCATCTTGATTTATATTCATTGCCCTGTGATACAAAAACATTTTAATTATTTCAATGAATATTAGAATTACTGTTTAACTTAACGATAAGATTTTTCAGATGACACTTGTAGTATAATTATCTTCCTAATAATTTTATACTTTGACTCTGATATCACTCTTGTCATAACCCGATTCGGGGACTTGGACAAAAACAAATGGTTAGACGAAGAAAAAATTATCTAAACATTATCATTTGTTAAACAAGAATCATCTAAAATATAAAAGAGTCATTCAATTTCATAAAACTTTAATTTACACTTTTATTAAGATTTAAAGCTTTTATAACTAATAATAAATTAAAACAAAAATGTTGTATCTATTTTCCAGAGCTCCTCGACGTCTATATGCAGTCTTTAAGATCCATCCATTCTAAAGAAGGTTTTTATTGAAAAACAATAGTCCCTGAAAGTATGCGTTCAGCTACTCAGTGGATAAAATGTCTCTAAATCGCAATAATTAATATTTTAAAAATATTTTGTAAAAAGACAGCAAGCGGTAAAAAAGAAACGATAGAAATTATAGTTTTTCTAATTTTTTTATTTATTTCAATTACAATAACTATCAATGGGAGTCACTATCTAAATGTGTATTAAAATCATACTTGACATTTTCTAAAACCCACCAAAAAATAGACAATCATTTTCATTTTTATTTTCATTATACGTACACGGTACATTACATCCCTAAACAATGCAACACGAAATTGATTTCATATATACATATGCATATATTATATTATATTATATTTTTTTCTTTTATTTAAAACTAGAAAAATATTAAACTTGTATTTAAAAAATACTAAACATAATAAAAACAATTGTAATTGATTTCTTAAATAAAAAGTCGTAAAATAGACATATATTCGCCCACCTACTCAACACAGTTAGTAGTCCTTTCCTCAAAGCAACTCAATCCGTTGGTGCACATATAATGACAAATTATCTTTAATTAGCTTCGGCTATTATTGTCATTCTTTCATATGAATTCTATCCTTAATTCTTAGACATATTCGTTTTATATGTAAATATATTTTCTCCTCTCTATGGTCTCCAATTTAATGATTTATCCACTTCTCCTGAATATAAAGCTATTTCATCAATTAATATTATTACATAAAATAACATATCACAATTAAATTAATTAACGTTCAAATAGTTAACTAAGTGGCTTTCCAAACTTTTTTTTGACATTTTAAGAAGTAACTTAATTATGTCTTTAAAATTTGGTTTTTTAATTTTTCTTTGTACTTAATTTTCACAAAGATGAACTATGAAAAAGTACTTAAAATTTGAATTAAATCTCATACCTTAATTTACTTCACCCTTTTTGCTTCTTTAGCATTCTCGCCAATGGACAAAAACCATATTCACAAAATTTTAAGTCATTTTAAATTATTAGAGTTTCTGAAATTTCTGCAAAAATTCTCAAAAATTTAAAAACATAAAAATCTTAACTTTGCAGTTTTGAACTTTTACCTAAAGCTTTAAAAATCTCACTCAATTCCCTACTTTACCTACACTCAGTCACACGTCTCTTGCAAGAGGAAAGGCTTCTACCAGCCGCTCAAGCCCCACGAGCCACCTGCGGGAATGCCCGTGCGTAGGATTTCGACCTACCTCCTCTTTTCTCTATGCTCGGTTAGGGCACGACGCCCTTCCTTCTCGGTTCGTCGACAACACAAGAGGAAGGCCCGCGTCAGTCGCATGACTTTTCATCATCCTTCACTTGATAAGCCCCCTCTTATCTTGCTTGTTAGTGCGGAAAGACACGTCGTGCGCCTTCATCTTCCTATATGTTCCTTCTCTCCCGCACTCCCATTTTCTGTCTCACACTCGTTCGTACGGGAATAAGAAAATGAGAGAACTACTCCCTGGTACTTGATTTTCTGAGGGTGATGCGGCATAAATCGAACGACAGTTGCTTCGCAGGTGTCGTGAGCAAGTTCCATTTTTGTCATTCCATACATTTAATAATTAACTAACAAAAAATTATTTTACAGAATTACATGAAAGATTGGTAGGGGGAATATGCGAGTGTGTTTGTGCACACAAGAAACAGAAAGAGAGAGAGAGGGAGAAGCGAGAAATTGGAGTGAGGGTTTGGGCACAAGGCCATTAACAAAAAAAAAAAAACAGAAAGGGAGAAACACAGGACCAACTCATGACAAGCCTTTGGTCATGCAAGGGGGATCCATTTCAGCTGGGGAAATTTGAAGGCTACAATTGTTGTGTTATAATTTTTATTATTATTATTACAAAGATAAGTTCATACCTTGGCATCAATATGTTATAAAGATAAGCTCAAGTGAACGTTGTTTCATCAAATTTATTTTAAATTATTTGGGGGAGATATGTCTGCTATATCAAGTCTTATTACAATTAATTTATATTAAACCATTTTTTTTCAATGAATTCAATTTCAATTACTCGAGGAATATATTAAATGTGTAACTGAGTTTTCATGAGAGTAGCATCAATCTTGTTACTCTAGTATAATAGATGAGGCATCAACTATAAAGAGATAAGAGTTTTGAATCGCATCGTCATAAACCGACGTTAACTCATGTCAAACCTCAGGTTAGTTCAAGATGCTCTTTATTTTTATCCAAAATGATTGCATATGGAGCTCAGCTGCCTTAAGAAAAGTTGGCTGTAGCTGAGATTCATAGGCTCGAATGAATCTGAAAAGATTTCGAACTGCGCAACAATTGAAAATTTGATGTCAAAGAAAGCTGACTCAAAGTTGAACCATTATTTATCAGCACAAGGAGAAATCAGCGTCCGCATATGCTCACACGGGCTTTAAACAGGACAATGACAAAATAAACTAGGAAAATTTTCTGATGAGATTGGGAGCTAGTAAAGACAAGTCTATAACAAGAACAATCGTGAAAACTGAAATGCCATCAGGTAAACTAGAGAATAAAATTATTTCAGAAGGCACAAAGAAATCAAAGGCGCTGTGGTACACAATACACAAGCATGAACAGAAAGTTAACCAAGAAGCATACCGATACAAAGAGACTCATCACTAGCTACCATCAGAAAGTTTGATGAACTAATACAAACAGGGTTCAAATGAAAACATACATCATTTAATTACACAATATCTATATTTAATTAGGTTTAACTAGCTTTTGCAGAATGTATATGATACTATAAGGCAGATAAAAACATGTAAATTGAATTAGCGCCCTGTGTTGGTTGTTTTTCCAAGCATAACAGTAGGTACAAAATAGCTTAACACATAATCATAGAAATCACTGACCTCGTGGAAGGTAGATACAAATCTTTATAAAGATTTGAGGAAGTCTGCAGAGTTCTCCAAACTTATGAAACCATACAAATACCATTCTGAGAGAAGAAAATATGTATATGGTTAGAAACAAATATGGGGATACAAACAGAGGCATGTGAATAATATTACTAGTGAATAGGTCTAAAGATGCCAACATTTCTCACAACAAATTTGTCCAAGGCACTGAAAGGTGGTTGGATCCATTCACAAACGTATGTTGGAGATTCTCCATTTTTTCCATCAGAGGAAACTACATCACATGTGATAAGAGTTCACATTATTCAAGTTGAGAGTAAAATTATACATTTTAACAATATGAAACAGATTTATTAAAGTACAAGCTAAAAAAAACCTGAAATTCCCAAGAACACCTTGTGAGTTACGAACAACTGCAAAACAAATGCTTATGCAATGAGAGTGGCATATATGAAGATGTAAAGATCAGTGTCATATATGAAGATGTAAAGATCAGTGTTTATTTTGAGAAATAATCATGTCAGAAAAGAGTGGGAATACAACCTATTGAAGTAAAGGTAGCGGAAAACATAATTAGGTTGTATGGACTTGTATATAACAATGGCTAGAGCATACATAAATGGAAAAGATAGATAAAATTAATGTAAAAGAATTAGCAAAAAATGAGGCAAAGCAAGGCAATCTGGGAAGAATCAACCCAAAAAATTGGGATAAGGCAAATAATGAAAATGATGGTGGCAACTAACTCTCTTTGTTAAACTTTTAGTACTGAAAATAAAATTATGACAATTGACCAAATTTGATTAGTATACGTGCAGGTAAAGATATCATTCATGGGTAAAACTAGATGGTCCCAAGTCGACAAGACCAGTCCTGAAAGAAAGAGAGTACACATCAAACTGGACAGAGTGAAAAAAAAAAAAATTAAAGATCAACCAAACAATAAACTTAATTGTCAAATAACACGTTTACATGATGGCATGCTCACTAGTTCAACGACAATCTCATGTCTTCATTAAAGAAAAGCCAAAGAGCAAATCAAAACGTTAAACACATCAAATTAGATCATATTCATGAATGTTGATAAGCGCACTCTAGTAGGTTTCCATCTTAAGCAACACATGACAATGTATGATGGTATTAACTAACCGGATATACCACCGATATTAGCAAATAGAATAATAATTACGAATTGAAAAGCTTCCTTAATTTACTGATTTAACAAATGGATAACACAAACAAATCATTAAGAAGGCAGAAAAGAAGAATAAACCTGCCATGCTGGAGACATGTACTCGCGATATAAAAGCATTTTTCTATCGTGTTTGTTCAAGTTTTTTGAACCCTCGGAATGTCCCCTGTGAAAAACTTGAAGGTTCAAAACCCAGAACATGAATAAGTTGAAATCATTCCACTCAAACACTTGCAAACAAATATTCCAACTTTTACATAGCAAAAATAATTGATCGACAAAAAAGTTGTGCGAGTATGTAGGAAAATTTTGACATTAATTTCTTTAATTAGCATGTTTTTAGCATCTTTCCTGCACTTCTTTGATTCAGAAAGATATCAAAAAATTCATCGAAGTAATGGAATATCAGAAGTCGCATGAAGGACGACTTATGCAATTAAAACTCAAAAGAAATTAAATAAAGAAGCTGCCAAAAAAAATCAGGCTATGATTATTTAACAAAATAAACACATCTTAAGTTGTCTACAACAACAAGAAGCCTTTAACCCACAAAGTGTGGTCGGCTACATGAATTTTTTTCTCTATATGTCCTATTGGGATCATATTTTCATTTAGTTCTAATAAATAAAGATAATTTTTACACAACAAACCCAAATATTTTTAGGTCTACCTTTACCTTTTTTAACATAAGTCAAATTTAAAACATCTACTCTCCAAACTAAAGCATCAGATGGTCGATATTTAGTGTGACCAAACCATCTCAGACAACTCTCTCTAATCTTGTCTGCCACTGGAGCTACACCAACCCTTTCATGGATACATTCATATCGCATTTCTCATCCACCTAAGCATTCTCATCTCAGCAACACTTAACTTGGTATTATGCTTCTCATTTAAAGGCCAACATATTTAAAGGCCAACATTCTGCCAACATTCTGCACCATAAAGCATTGTAGGTCTCACCACCATTTTATAAAATTTTCCTTTAAAGCTAATCGGTACTTCCTATCACACAATAGGCCCAATGCATTCCTCCACTTCAATCATTCAACTTGAATTATACTAACCACATCCCCATCTATATCACCATTACTTTGATCAATAGACGTGAGGTATCTAAAACGTTCACACCATTTAATGATTTGATCACCCATTTTTACAACTATACCACTAAATCTACTAGTAAAACAACATTTCATGTATTCAGTTTTAGATCTACTCAAATGAAGGCCTTTCGTACCGAATGTAGACCTTTGTAATTCAATTTTTTCATGGTATTATCCACAAGAAGGATATCATCAACGAAAAGTATATACCAAGGTACATCCACCTGAAAATGTCCAGTAAGCGCATCTGAAACTAAAGTAAAATGATATGGGCTTAAAGTTGATCCCTATTGTAATCCAATTGAAATCAATCATCCTTCTATTCGAACAAAGATAAAACACAAGTAACAACTCTAGTATACAATATCCTAAATGACTTGAATATAAGTCACATCAACACATTTCTTTTCTAGAACTTTCCAAGGAATTTCTCTTGGAATCTTAATGTAACATTTTTCTAAATCAATAAAAATCATATGTAGATCCTCTTTATTCTCTTTGTACTTCTCAATCAAACCTCTCAATAAGTGTATAGCTTCCATAGTAGACTTTTTGGCATAAATCCAAACTAATTATCATAAATCTTTGCATCACATCTTAATTTATGTTCAATTACTCTCTCGTATAATTTTAATGCATGATAAATTAACGTAATTCATCTATAGTTTACACACTCTAATGCATCCCCTTCATTCTTAAATATGGGGGTCAAAATACTCTTCCTCCATACCGAAGGCATCTTTATAGTTTTTAAAATAATAAGTTTAGCAAGCCAAAAAAACTCCTAAATCTCCCAAATGTTTTCATAATTCTATTGGGATATATCTTCAGATCCTATTAATTTTCCACCATTGACTTTCTTTAAAGCCTCTTCAACTCATTTTTTACTAATGCAATGATAAAAATAAAAAAACTTTATTATTATTAATGATATCAAGATTACTAAAGTCGAACATATTTTAAAAAACTTCATTGAAAAGAATATCAAAATATCTCACCCATCTATGTTGAATATCTTCCTCTAAGAAAATTATTTTTTTGATTTTCATCATCAATGCACTTAATTAAATGCTTACTTTTTTTCCCTTGGTTTTACCTTTGTATATATATCTTTCAACTTCTTAAATATACAATCTATTAAAAAGATCACTAAAACAGAAGTCTTAAGCATTAAAATTTGTTCTCTTAAACAACTTACAAGTCACCTTATATTTTTCTCAGATCTCTAAGCTTTTACATTTAAACCAATTTTTATAACAAAACTTCTTATAATTTATCTTTTATTGAACGCTATTATTCCACCACCAACTATTTTTATTTATGTTTTTTTTCTTTTGATTCTTCTTGTTTAATAGTCATTGTTACTTTATCCAACATAACTTTTGATTCTTTAAGTACATCTTTTGTCACTTGTTTAATAGTCATTGTTACTTTATCCAACATAAAACTAGGTTCTTAATGAACATTTCAAATCTTGAAATCTTAAAGTTTACTCATATAATTAATTTTATTTGTCTTTTGGGTGCCCTAGTCTAATTTTATGATAGTTTTATTATATTTTTCATTTTTCAACTCTTCATATTAAAATCCAAAAAAAAAATAATCAATGTTAAATACTTAAATTTTCACTTGAAATGGCCTTACAATCTTTTCATTCTCAATAATTTATTTTTCTAATAAGAAAATAATTAATATTTGTTTTATTAATTATTTTAGTGAATAAAGAGATATATAAGACTTTATATTTGCTTCAATGTGTAAAGAGCGAAGCGAAGCAACATTTTTATTAACCAAAACACTAATAGGTTATATAAAATTAATAATATATAAATACATTCATGAAAAATTATAAAATATAAAATACTTATTATATGACTTAAAAGTTGATATAAATAAAAAAGAATGTGGTGCATATACCTAATTTGAAGGCAGATATGGCGATGAACTTGCATATTAAAAATTTAAATAATTTCTAATAGTTTGCCCCAACAATTAAAATTTTAAAAAATTACAAAAAAGTTCCTATAATTCAAAATAAAAGCTAAGTTTAAAGTATAAATAAATTAATAAAGTCTAATTTTTCATAAAAGAAGCTATAAAGTAATTCATTAATCATCATCATTTCTTTCAATCATATAATATTTTTCTCCTCCAACTAGAATTTCTTCATCATCAAAATTCTCTTCTTCCAACTTTTCTTCCCTTTCTTCTTCTTTTTCTTCTTCTTGTGAAAAAAAATGTCTTCTCTTTCTAAAACAAAAGCGAATACAAGTCGAGATGGACTAGTTATCATTTAGCCAAATCGCATTTTTTGTCCGACTAAATCTTACAAATTAAATTCAATCAATTTCTCTTGAAACCTCTTTAATTTGTCTCAAAGATCTTCCTTCCTAAATTATTACTACCATTATCCTCCATTTCTCCAACAACCCCTCATAATTTTGATCAATTGAATCCAAACTAATCGGATCAATATTATCTCTCAGATTAAATATTTTTTCCTTAAAGCTTGATTGTACTTGATGAAAACTAATTCACTTAACTGCTTTTGATCTAGTTGATTTCACTTTTTCGTATGAATCTATAAAAAATAATAAACTAATGCATAAAATATATAAATTATTTAATATATTTAAATTTTCTAAATTATTAATTTGTTCGAAAATACTAAAAAAAAAAATTTAAGCTAATAACACTGCAAGTCAATGCCAATATTTTGACAACTAATTCTTACAAAGTTGGGATTGATGCACTATATATCTTTTATCACTTTGATGTTATAATTATAATGTCATGTTAAAAAAATTATTCAATCAAAACTCAAAATAAAGTAGAAATTTTAATTAATCATGTTGAAATTTTATCTATATTACGAATAGTATACTCGATTGCAAAACCACTATCATGATTATAAATATTAAATTCTTTTATTTGAATCTACAACTAATATGAGAATAAAAATATATACATCTTCCACCAATTATGCATCTAATTGTATCTCACACTTAATATTATAAAAAAATTTATATTAAGATAAAATTCAGCTTGATACAATAACTGTAGAGTTGCCGCATCGATTTATCATCAATATTACGAAAGATTTACTTGTAGATTTGTATCTCCTTTAAATTCAATACTGATTGCATAATTTACTATTTTTATTGCATCATAAATATAGCTCATTGTTGATCATTTGTCATCGTCTACTAATCTTAACATCTTTACAATTAGGCTTATAACCATTAAAGTGTAAGACATCATTCCAAAAACTAATCATAAGGATAATCTCCTTAGTCTACTTCCCTTTATAATCACCTTCTTTCAATTATAATCAATATTAAATCCAGATTAATTTCAATTTTCAAAAATATTCGCCTCATTTTTTTTTTTTTTTCTTGTGCATATTGACAAGAAATGAGAAATAAAAATGTAAAATGTGACACTAGTGTATTTCCTCATGTGAACAAATTTATGATTGTATACGTAGTCAATTAACCATAAAGCTATTTTAATAATATTTTTTTAGTCCACCCATCTTTTCAATATTCATAAACACAAAATCAATACAATGTGTTTCACATGATGTCCAATACATGTGCATTTTTTTTTCCATTAGTATTTGTCCTACATAAACAAAAGAATACTTGGCATTCTCTAATTTAAAAAAAAAGTAAATATATATATGCATTTAAAGCAAATTAAAAAAAATTACAAACCAGCAAAAGCATGATTGAGTGATTATCTATATCCACTTGAAGCACGTTCTTTTTTTAATTTATTTATATTTGGGCATTTAAGAGTTCAGCGAATTTCAATGTAATTTTTGAAAATTAATATGCATCTATGGACTCTAATAATACAGTACTTTAAGGTGAATTAACCAAAAGAATAATTATATATCGTTCTCTATGAATGGTTCATCCATCAAACATACAAGTTCATCCCTTCTCTTCACAATTTATTTTGTGATCCTTCATATAATTCATAGTTGACTACAATTCATTTTCAAATACATGAACTTTCAGCTCAGTATAAGATGATCAACACCTAATCGATATTTTGCAATTACAACAACCATATGATTAAGAGTTTCTAGCTTCACTGCATTCAAAGAGATTCTTAATGAAATCATCTAGCAATATATTATAATGATATTTCTCTCATAATTTTATCCACAATTTCGTTTATTCTCATCTATCTCATATTCTTCTTTTTAATTGTTTTTTAAATTCTTTAAATAAAAAAATATGCATTAAACTTATCATTTTAGATATATTAATACTCTCTAATTCAGAACTTAATACAACTGCACTTTTGCCACAGTGCAAGGGCGGTTGAATATTTATTTCTTTGATTATATCAGTAACCATTATTGCCCTCCATATATAAATTATAAATGGATTTATTTACCCTTTCTTGATAAGCAAAAAAAAACTCATCTCTTACATATGAAGGTACTTTCTTACACTTAGCTACCGTATAAGGAGAACGATATTTGGGTGGGTGGTAGGACTGCAGCACGGGTGGAAATCGCAACACGAATTTGTGGCATGTGGCTTCTTGGACCGGTATGCAGCGGGCTGCATTCTGCGAATTTGTTATATTCTCTTTCTTATTTTGCCCCTCCACTGTATTAAATATGCCTTATGATGTTCGTGATAAACCTTCGTCTTGAGCATCAATGTTCTTGTTTTCGGTGTCTCTGTGCAGTGAGGTGCTCTCTTTATAAGCGAGCTTACTTTTCTCTACAGCTGGCGTTTTGCTTCATGTGAGATTACTTTTGCTTCGGTAACAGTAATTTTTTGAATGGTTGTTCTGAGATGTTATCTATGAGATTAATGGTTTTGAGTTGTCATCTCTTTAATTGTTCATTGTCTGTTTTGTTGAGCCTTTGATATTAACTAGAATGTTGAGTTGTGTATCTTGGGTTGAAATTGAAATTTTTACGTAACTCAATGTTCTATGATGTATAACTATTGATAAAATATTTTGGAAGACTTTTTCAGAATCTATGAACTAATTCTAAAATGGTTAGTTTACAAATAGCATACATATACAAGAGAAATATGATATTTATTTTAAAAAAAAGTTGCAGCACAACTGATACATGGTTGAACTAACCAAACAGACAGTTTCACCAACAACAGCTTCTTCTACAGCTATTGATTCATCAAATAGTTACAGCAACCCTAAATAAACACTCAATAACATTACTTCTTTTATACACTGGATGGACAAATAAAGGACTCCTTGGTACGAGTTATAATGCCATTATTCTTGTCACAATATATATATATATATTTATATATGTATATATATATCATTATTCTTGTCACAATATATATATATATTTATATATGTATATATATATGTGGCAAAAAATGTTAAATTCATATTATAATTTGTATATTTCCATATTAAATCTTTATGAATTATGTTTAAATCAATCATATCTAAATTATTTTTTTCATACACAAACAAACTGTGAATTACAATTTACAAAAATAGATTAATTTTCTCTCGCTGCAATTAGAATTCAAAACATTCCATATTAAAATATTAAAAAGGATATAAAAAATAATTACTATTTCTTCAAATATCATATAAATATGCATAAGTTATTTTTACAAATACCTACGAGTTCGGTCGATGGCTCTGCTAGCGGCGGAAGGGTCAAAGACTCTACTCCCTTGGCATCAAAAGCTCTCCCTTGCAGTCCCACTCAAACGTTCATCTAAAGTTCAACAAGAAAGGTTGCAAATCGAATGCTCTGCTCCTGCTCCCCTCAAACCATATGGTAAAGTCGGAAAGGAAGAAATCGCGATTAAAGTTGAGGACTTCGCTCCCTTGTGCTCCTTTCAAAAACTAGGTTAGAATCAAATAGGATGTCTTTATTTCAACTCATTGGATCAAGAAGCCAGGCCGGAGCAACACGCTTGCTTCAACATGTCGGAGCTCTTCACATGTGAAACGCATGCTTGGCTCGCAATGACTGCGCGTTAGTGACATGAAGCAAGCCTAAGGTGTGTCATGTAGATTAACGCTTGAAGAGCGCTTCGAAGTGGGTTTTTAAAAATGCTGGTGTGTATGTGTGTGCTTTGAAGTGAGTTTTTAATGTATGGCTAGATTTATGGTATGATTGACTAAAAAATGACTTGGGAGATTCAAAATATCAAGATCAAATTGGGATTTAACTGAAATTAAGGGTTAAAATTGAGTCAAGATCGTGATGTTGATCTACCAAGATATTCTAATCAACAAAAATAGGCTCCTCATGTGTGTATCGTTATTATTTCCAAAAGGGCACCCAGAGATACATAAATATGAGAGAGAATGATGGAGGCAATTCTCAAACCATGACTAAGTTATACCACAAGTAAAATGGAGCCACTTATACAAACATGTATCGTGTAAATGCAAATGCTTCTAATGTGACTAACCAACCATGAGAAAGACTATTTGAGAACTGGAAAATTATCCATATAAACAGTTTTCACCCCGCACTTATTCACCAAGCAATTTGTACTCAGACCATGAATTAAAAGGAAATTATAAAGATTGCAATGCTTGAAAGCACATACAATTCTAAATATATTTCACATCCTTGTTGGACACCGACACAAATCCTACACATATCTGACACTTTAGAAATTGTGGAACAGTTCCGTTAATGTGGAATTGTCCTCTGATACTTACCCGATATGATTGGATACGGACAAAACATGTAGATGAGGAATTCAAAACCAACCATTAGTGCCAAAATGATTAATAAGAATTAGTAATTTATAATATATAAAAATCTGTCCTTACTTTTTTCAATTACTCGGCATTATCAAGTCTATTCGTGTTGGGTAGCTGCACTGCAATCTTAATTTAAAGTATACAGTGTAGAAATGGATCTAGGCACTCCATGTTTATATAAATATGACAGACAATCCTTGTTCTCTCATTTCTTTTCCTCTGAAGGAAATTATGTAAGAATTCAGTAGCAAGCCCAAGTATTAGGGCTTACAGAAATCAACTGGGATAGTTAAAAGAGAAGAACTGCAATTCATATAAAAAATCCCTTAACAGATAAAGAAGAAAAGACTAGCAAACTACGCTTGTTTGCACACTAGGTGGGGACATCTAGCAGATAAAGCAGCTTCTCTTTGTTGCAAGATACAGCAGCTCCTCTGGCTAGCCCATTAGGTGAGAAACTCTAACAAACATATAAAAGATAACAATGAAAAGTAAAATAATGTTTAATATCCAAGGTTCCAATTGTTTTACAAATTTGATGTTTTACATTTTATGTTAGCTTGTACAAACAGACATACTATGCAAATATTTTTAAATTTTCACTAAAGGTGAAAGTACTAAAGATTCATAACCAGAAATATATGCGGCATGAGAACTAACCTATGTGCATCATTTGGTGGGGCTGCAGCGCCAAAAATTGTAGATTTTGATGCTAAAACTAGCAAAGGTTGCACATCTCTGATTTTATTGATTTCTTGAACTACATTTTCAGTTAATTTTTCAAGAGATAATTTTTCCCTGCATAAAACAGAACTATTACTCAAACCATCAAATAAAAGACTATAAGTTCACATATTACAAAAGTAAATCAATCCATTGAAGAGAGTAAAAATGACTACCAGCAAAAATAGTTGATGAATTCAACCTATAAAACTATATTTAAATAGTGAAGGGCTGAATCACTCTAAACTCAGTTTAATTATGTTTAAGTGAAAAAAACTCGACCATATCCTAAAATCCCTCTAAACTTAGTTAGCTTATAAGCAGCATGCATACCGTGTACTACCATCTTTTGTCAAAGTTTGGCAAGCTCGATCAATCCAATGAAAAGAACCAATGCTGAAGGTCAAGGAATCAAGGTATTAATGTCAGCAAAATTGATCGGAATTGAGATGAACAGTTCATGAAATAAGCAAGAAGATATATTTGGAAAGAAACATAATGCTTTTTACAGGGAAGATGAAACTGCTAAATTAATTTTCCAATTATGCCAGAATTTTGACTGGTAGATATGGAGCCAGATACAAGGATCAGATATCAGATATTTGATTTGAACTTTATTTACATGAAGCACTATTAATAAGAACTTCTGAAGGCTTAATCATCCATACTTTTTTAGTGTGCAACAATCACTTGATAGCATTTGCAATGTCTTCTTTTTAGCAACTATTTAGAGCATCTGAAATAAAATAAAATAAAATTTTCAAACAAAAAAAGGTATGAGAAACTTCTTTGATTTAACGTCTTATTCTTGGTTCAATTCAAGATTGACCAAACTAAAAGAAGATGGTAGACAATTTGAAGTCCTTTTTATAATTTCTCTCGTGAGCAGATCTAGCTAAAAAGCTTTTTCTAATTAATTGTAACATTCTTTTACTTTATTTAAAAAAAAATCATTGCTTCTTTGTAATTTGTTTTGAGGTTTTTAATGAGAGGGATTGGTCCTAGCTTTTTCAATATATTTATATATCTCTATATTACTCAAATCATGGTCGGACATCTGCTTGTCAGTTATAAGTCCCCTCTGGTCTAGGATTCGAATCCCCCCGAGTGTAGGGTATCGTACTTGAATTGTTAGGAGCATTAGGGACGGCAGGGGCTCGTATAATTACCTCCGGTCATTCCTTTTTAATATATATAAGTCTTCCCGATGCAAATTTTGGAATAAATGAGTAAAATGTTTTAGTTAAGAATGTGTAAAAAGCATTAACGGGAACTGCACACCAACAATAATTACCCTTTATAAAGGCTCACTTAAGTTTGATGAATACGACATATAAAATATTTGTATAATATCACTCACAAAGTAACACAAATTTACAGAGAATTTCAGAAGGATTTGAAATTTCACATATTTCATAGGGTAAAAGTGTCACTGGTATAATACCATTAATTACAGTGATAAAGACAAAAAGGTTAACAGTTACTCAAGGGAGTTATATGAAAATTAATGTGGTAACTATGAATAATAAATCCCAGAGCTTTCTTCAGCTAAAAAATCTGTTCTGATACTGGCGCAATCATTGTTATCAATTTGAAGAAAAAAATTTCACATGTGAAGCTGCAAAGTTTGACAGTCAGTTACAAATGTTTTGGAAGTAATTACCAGAACTCTGTTACCACTATTAACTTGTCCATTATGAATCACGGTGAGTTAGATACATTGCCATTTATTAGAATATGCATATAAAATCACTCATATAAGTTAACATTCATATGCAAAAAAAAAAAAAAAAAAAAAGCTACCGAAAAAAAATTCTAGCTTAGGATGAGCTACCACAATATCAACAATTGGGAAATAATTGGTCTAGCTAACTATTTTCTCTTGTAAAGAAAAGAATGTACCGCCTAGAATAGAGTAAAATTTTCTTTGTTAGACGAGCAAAAGCAGAAGAGCAAAAGGCAGATCTTTCAAAATTGGCGTTTACATAGTATTCATAAGGAGTATAATTTTAATTTTTAGAAGAGCAAAAGGCAGACCTATCAATAATAAGAATGTACAAACTGGCACCAAGTTCTTCACCTGAACCTATTGAACCAAGATGAACTGTCTGTAAATAGAAGAAACCAGATCAGCCACTACGTTACAGTATAAAGCCTCCTCCATTAATAGTTCGAATGTTTTGAAGTTTGGAAAAATCTGCTTCATTTATTAAAATTTGATTGATTCCACATACAATAGAAGAAATGCATACAAATTACACACAGATAACGTAGAGGGACTTATTTTGCATACTTGACATAAAATTGAACTTCAACATGCTCATGCCTAAATCAAATTGCAGCGTTTATGTATTGCCACGAATAAATGAAATTTAGAAAGGAAAAGGATTTTTTCATAGGAAACAAGCTTCTGAGGGATTGCATCTTAAATATTTTGAAATGAGCAAATACAAAATTAATAAAAAGATAAGTTCAATTTCAAGTTTCGTTGAAAAGCTATGCTGGCAAAAAGAAAATTCTTAACACTACAGACAAAAGAAAATTCAATTTAGCTACAACTTTACTTTATATTAGACACCAAGAATAATTGTTTTACACATCTTGAAAGAAAAATGCCACAATCATTAATGCATTTGGTAATAGTTGACTGCAAAATACAATATGATGAACGTAAGTGCAAACTAGCACCAGTAGTTGCTATCCGTCCTCCATGGGCATCCCCTCCACCCTTTTCAACACTATTAATTGTAATCTCACAATTGGGTTTAGCATCATCGAGCCTCACTTTCATTCATTCCTGTGTTGGTGGTGTTAAACATAATTTTTCGAATTTCATTTTATCCCTCCTTTCTTTTACGATTATCGAATTAGAACTTAATTTCATGCACATAAGAATATTATGTTAAAAATCTAAACAAACTATTAAAGATTTCTAAAATGAGAATGACCATTATTAAAAGTATTTGAAGTTGACCAAAGAATTTAATTATAAATGATATTCAACGAGAAATGCCTCGAGACTATTGCAAATAAAATTAAAATTTTGAACAAAAATGGAAACATTTACAAGGTAATGGGCTAAGATTAGTATAATCAAAACTGAGATTATAAAAAATTTTAGTAAATTTGGAACTAAAAAATAATCAAAATATTAGTAGAAAAACAAATTATCCTTAGTTATGAAACTTGCATCGTTGATTTGTTATATGAGAAAATGGGGATATAGATTAAAACTGCTTTGGCTAATGCTTAGTGGTTAACATGGACAAGTGGGCAATGAAGAAATAATTTAAGTTAAATGCAATAGAAATAAAAAAATTAGGATGCGTGGAAACTGAGAAGACAATGTTGAGTGATTATATGTAAGAAAGAATGGAATAACACCAATTGAAAACAAGACATTGGAAAATACGCATGGATGGCCTAAAAATGTGATAGAAGACATAAGATATGCAAATAAGGCAAATAAGTTAGGTAAACTTGATGAAAGGGATGAGAAGTGAAAGAGATAAATCAAAGAGAACTATTGAAATTACAGGAAAAAAAACAAATCAGTGTTAGAATCAAACTGATACCGGAGTTAGCCCAAACAACAACGGGAAACCTAACTTTATCACGGAAATCAAATAGAGGTTACAAAAAATACATGCAGAAATAGGAAATAATAAAGACACAACATAAACGCCAGATTGAGGGTGGTGGGAAGGTTGTGGTTGGGTGGAAGTGGTTGGGGCATATAGGGTTGGTATGGGGATGTGGCAACAGGGGAGGTGAGGTGACTGGCAGCTAGGCTGCAGCAAGGAAGGGGAAGGCTGGGAAGGTGGGGATGGTTGACAGCAAGGGAGCAACAAGGGGGGGTTGACTGCTGACAAGTCGGCGGCTGGAAGCAGGAGATGTGATTGGATGGTGAGCAGCTGCAGGAAACTGCGACGGAGGAAAGGGGTAGGGGAGATTGCGATAGTAGCAAAAAAAAACAAAAGTGTTGTACTTGGGATGGTTGTAGTAGTTATGGCGATGTAGGTGGCGGAGGAAAGGATGTGGATGATGGAAAGTCAAAGATAAATGCCCCCTCGGGAATAAAGTATAGTTGAAGCACCCCTCAACCCTTAGGAGCAAGCCATCACCTCAGAACAAGATAAAGCCGAAGTACCACTCGCCGTCGGATACAGCCCTACAAGAAAAAATAGAGATGCCAACAGCTGTCCTAACAAAAAAATACGACAAAAGTTAAGCCTAAACACCAAGAAAATAACATATACAATAGTTAGTAAGAGAGGGGCCCACTCCTCTTGGGTGGCAACCCTGAAACTCTAGGAGGGTCGGTCGGCACCTCCTTTACCCCAGCTGAACCGGTTTGAGCATCCACTAATCCAGGCAGTCCAATGTTGTTGTGTCCCGCATACTCGCGAGAGACGCTCTGCATCAGTCTCCCAGGGTTAGGGGAGCTTCGACCTCATTTATCGATGCAGTTGTCTGCACGTTGAATGTGACAACACTGTTGTAATCTCCCGAGATTGAAGGATCTTCAATTGTGGACCTAGAAGCATCTAGATGCTAGTGTCGACTGCATTATCCCCCAAAACACCTTAGTAGTTACCCCCATATGTGAGCAGTCATCTATATCGGTCCAACCTAATAAGAGTACACTGTTGAACTGAGTTGGGACTTCGTGGGAAGTGTGCTACGCATAGTCTCCCAAAGTTAGCCGATGGTTAGTTCATCCCTATCTGATGTGAGAACAAATTGCACTCCCTTTAACGGTGGCCTTTAACGGTGGCAGCCATGGCAATGAGATATCGATCATGATGTCCTGAAATGTTATCTGTAGTAATTATTCTGTGTCTGGAATCGTCGCCTCTATCCCTCTATCCTCTATCATCACAAAAACCAATATCGTTGGTGTTTTTCTGCTTGCAAGAGCACCTATAAACTCGAACTTCACAGAAGGTAAGAGAACGAATGTGGTTTCCATTCTTAGTGAATGAGTACGTGTTTCTGTACCTGACATGTCGATTCTTACAGTCAAACTGTCACAATCTCCCCAACAGGATGCAGTAGACATCCATAGGCACCTAGTCACACCACACCTGATCATGCAGTTGGTTCTCGATCGAAAACTCTACAACACACCTCCTATCAATGTTGATTCTATTCTTTTTCGTCAGCATATCAGGAAGCACGGCTAAGAATTCTTATGAGACATGAGGCTCAACTAGTCCATCATTTGACGATGAGACTGCATACTTTTCACTTCACAGTGCAGCAAAAGTAGAATATTTTGTTGTGAAGCCATTGTTGTTCCCTCGCAGCCTCGATCTAAATGACAGGGCGAACCACCAGAAACTCGCTCTAATTTGATGGGAGTTGGAACTACTCACTCTGCTCTTCAGCTTCCCCTTTATCGCTCACTTTCTCCACTGCACCCTACTCAGCGAAGAACACAACTCAGCTCGTCAGGCAAATGGAAATGATGTGCCCAAAACCATGACATCTAAAATATTTTCTAGCTGGAACTATAATGGGGGTGATGCTCTTCTCAGGCTTCTTTTCACTCTGAGTAAATTTATTATTCTCTTGACTAAACTTCTCTATTACTATAGGTGTGTGCCTGCTAATCTCTCCAATTGTGGGTGGATGTTTGAATGCGTGTAAGTATCTGCTCTGCTTCTGCTGTCTCTCCACCTTCAGTGCCAAGGTTTGAACGTCACCCAAAGTCCAGTAAGGATGCAGTTGAACCACGTTGTCGATGGAGGGCTTCAGGCCTCCCAATTACCCGACTATTGTGTACTCATCTGGTTTTGTCAGACCACATTTCAGCTTAACCTGCATAACTCTATTGTGTACTCCTTTGATAAGTACATATGTTGTGCGTAGTGGAGCCTCAAGAAAAGGTTCTAACGATAGTGTGGGGGTAGAAATTGTCACTGTAACTCTCTCATCTTCTCCCATATAGTAATCATTTTATTTTCTCTACTTCTCTTCCTCTTCAGGTTCTCCCATTATAATGAGGTGCTCTTCTTCCGCTTGATAACAACAATCTTCACTTTTCAATCATCTGACACATCCATGTAGTCAAAAACCCTCTTGATGGTCTACATCCACTCTATGAAGTCGTCCGGATTCATTCTCACCTCAAAATCCGGTATGCCCACGTTCACTCCCGAATCCAAGTATCCTCCAACAAGCACTTCATCTGTGTATCTTCCAATCGGCACTTCATCTCTCAATCTCTTCTGATATTGTATCTCAAAGCATTGTGGTTTGTCTTTTTCCCAACTGGAATCATCCTTATGGAAGAGATTCATATCTCTCTCTTCATCAAATCTCACTACCACTATCGACTGTGACCTCTTCCTGGGTCCTTTCCTCAATATTATTGATTTTTTGTAGCACTCGGTGGAGCTCCCATTGATCTCTTCCATGGTAAATCAGTGTCAGACAATTGTCTCCTCGGTGGCATAATTGGAGCTCCCATTGATCTCTTCCATGGTAAACTCTTGATCAGTGTCAGACAATTGTCTCCTCGGTGGCATAATTAGGGTTTAAGGTCGGAGGAGTGAAAGGGTGTGTAGGGGGGATGTAAAGTGGGAAAGAAAATTTTTGGGTGGTCGACTTGGACAAATCAATAAAAGGGAAAATATGTTGGTGGAGAAAGGGTTGGATATTGATAGATGCTAGAACTCTTAAGATAGGACAATAAAAGAGGAAATAATTAGGCTATCTCTGATACAAAATGATAAAAGAGGAAATAGTTAGGTTAGCTCTGATACAGAATGATACCCGAGTTAACCCAAACAACAACAGGAAACGCAGCTTTATTATTGAAATCAAATAAAGGTTACAACAAACATACATAGAAATAGGAAATAACAAGACACATAACACAAACACCAAACTAGGGCTTAGGTCGATGGTGGTGGGAAGGCTACGGTAGGGTGGTTGCAGTTGGGGAAATAGAGGGCTGGATTGGGGATGTGGTGGCAGGGGAGGTGAGGCTTTTGGCTGTTGGGCTACGTTGATGGGAAGGTTGGCGACATGAGAACAGGGGGAAGGAGAGGATGGCTAGCAGCAAGGGAGAGGGGTTGGCTAGTGACAAGGGTTTGGAAAG